ATCAGTTCTAGTGTCGTTTCTTCGTCACAAACACCTGGAGTTGTGTTGTTGTTGTTGTTGTTTTTTTTTCATTCACACAAGTTTATCACACAAACCTGCACATGTCGGTTTAGGTTCTTCTCGTGTGTGAATGAATCAAAACACAAGTCCAGCTCTGTGTTTGAGGAGGAACATCAGAACACGCACCACCTTTACGTTAATATGGACCTGTTCGTCTGGAAGAAAAATTATTTTATTTTTATTTTATTTATTATATGCTTTACTTTATTTTTACTTATGGTTCCTCGTCAGTTTTTTTTTTTTTTTTGGCAATATTAGTATAAACTAGGTAAACGTGCAGCTTTCAGGTCAAAAACACTTAAATCTAGGTTTGTGCTGCTTCCAGACGCCACCGCAAGCACCATGTGACATCACACAGCACTGCCCTGATCACAGACACCCGGCTTTAACACTTCTGGGGTTGTTTTTTTTCACGACATGAAACTGAACAGATTTTTTTTTTTTTCTACTTTTTTAAAATCACGAACATGTCAAGGAAAAAGTGGAATTAGATTTGTGTTTGTGCTCTTCCTCAGCCTGTTCTCCGGCCTCCTCATCCTCATCGTGGCCAGTTTCTTCGGGGTGAGTCTCTGTTTCTCGCTGACCGTTGGCGCCCTCTGCTGGTGCTCGAGGAACGGTTGGAAAAACAAACGACAAACGAGACAGAAACGAGACTTTACTGGAAAAATACAAACCACTGATTATTGACTCATCTCCCTCTCTCCTCCTCTCCTCCTTTCCACCTCTTCTTCCACTTTCTCTCCCTCTCCCTCACTTGCTTGCTCCCTCTCTCCTCCCTCTTCTATCCCCTCTTTTCCTTTTCCCCTCTCTCCTTTCTTTCCCTCTCCTCTCCTCTCTCTCTCCTTTCTCTCTCTCTCCTCTCTCTCTCTCTCTCTCTCTCTCTCTCTCTCTCTCTCTCTCCTCTCTCTCTCTCTCTCTCTCTCTCTCTCTCCTCTCTCTCTCTCTCTCTCTCTCTCTCTCTCTCTCTCTCTCTCTCTCTCTCTCTCTCTCTCTCTCTCTCTCTCTCTCTCTCTCTCTCTCTCTCTCTCTCTCTCTCTCTCTCTCTCTCTCTCTCTCTCTCTCTCTCTCTCTCTCTCTCTCTCTCTCTCTCTCTCTCTCTCTCTCTCTCTCTCTCTCTCTCTCTCTCTCTCTCTCTCTCTCTCTCTCTCTCTCTCTCTCTCTCTCTCTCTCTCTCTCTCTCTCTCTCTCTCTCTCTCTCTCTCTCTCTCTCTCTCTCTCTCTCTCTCTCTCTCTCTCTCTCTCTCTCTCTCTCTCTCTCTCTCTCTCTCTCTCTCTCTCTCTCTCTCTCTCTCTCTCTCTCTCTCTCTCTCTCTCTCTCTCTCTCTCTCTCTCTCTCTCTCTCTCTCTCTCTCTCTCTCTCTCTCTCTCTCTCTTCTCTCTCTCCTCTCTCCTCTCTCTCTCTCTTCCATCTTCTCCTATCTTCCCTCGCTCCTCTACCAAATTGTCTCCCCCTCCCTCTCTCCTCTCCTCCACCTTTTCTTCCACTCTCTCTCCCTCTCCCTCACTTGCTTGCTCCCTCTCTCCTCCCTCTTCTATCCCCTCTTTTCCTTTTCTCCCTCTCTCCTCTCCCCCTTTTCCCCTCTCCTCCTTTCTTTCCCTCTCGTCTCCTCACTCTCTCTCTCTTCCTCTTCGTCTCTCAGTTGTTCTTCCAGTCGGACGTGTCGGAGTTGCTGTTCTCCGGCGCTGGCGCGTTCCTCTTCTGTGGATTCATCGTTTACGACACGTTTTTACTGATGAAGCAGCTGTCGCCCGAGGAGCACATCCTGGCCTCCATCAACCTGTACCTGGACATCATCAACCTGTTCCTCCACCTGCTGCGCCTCCTCGACGCCCTCAAGAAGCACTGAGAACCTCCTCAAACATCTCCTCAAACACCTCCCCCGGAAGCCCCAAAAACCTCCTCAAACGCCTCCTGATAGACCTCCTCAAACATCTCCTCAAACGCCTCCTGATAGACCTCCCCAAAAACCTCCCCAAAAACCTCCTCAAACGCCTCCTGATAGACCTCCCCAAAAACCTCCTCAAACACCTCCTGATAGACCTCCTCAAAACATCTCAAAAATCTCCCCCGGAAGCCCCAAAAACCTCCTCAAACACCTCCTGATAGACCTCCTCAAACATCTCCTCAAACGCCTCCTGATAGACCTCCTCAAAAACCTCCTCAAACACCTCCTGATAGACCTCCCCAAAAACCTCCTCAAACACCTCCTGAAACATCTCCCCGGAAGCCCCAAAAACCTCCCCAAAAACCTCCTCAAACACCTCCTGATAGACCTCCTCAAACATCTCAAAAATCTCCCCCGGAAGCCCCAAAAACCTCCTCAAAAACCTCCTCAAACACCTCCTGAAACACCTCCCACAGAAGCCCCAAAAATTCTCGCTCTGCCACTACACCGATGCTTCCGCAGGCGCCCGGACGCTTCTACACTTCAACACAAACACCTGTCAGTTACTACGGCAACACACACACGGACAAACTCCATGTAATCTGCTCTGTTTGTGTTATTCTTAAACAGGTTAAATATTATTATTATTATTATTATTATTATGATTAATTCCAAGTTAAACTGGTGAAATGTTTTTGTATATTTCTCTTGATTCAGTCGTGATTTCGTCTTAAATGAAACGTGGAAATATTCGGTGGGATTTGTAGATTTTGCACACGTCTTAATGTTTTTTTTTTTCTGTGAATGAAGTAAAAATATAAAATGACAGAGATGTTGTTGTACGAAATGTTCAGATTTTTACATGAAGTTTCTCTGGAGACGCTTCAATAAAGAACTTCTGTAAATATAAAAGTGTTTCATGAGTTTGGAGCAGCTCGTGTCCAGAACCAAAACTGACCGGAACCAAGACGGACCCAAAAACTGACCGGAACCGAGACGGACCCAAAAACTGACCGGAACATCGTCTCTGAAATCACAGAATCAAATCTCACAGGATTATTATATCAGAGCTCAAATGAAATCAGCTCGAAATCAGAAATCACACACTTACTTTACTTACTCTACAGTTACTTTACAGTTACTCCTCAGTTACTCTACAGTTACTCTACACTTACTCTACACTTACTCTACAGTTACTCTACAGTTACTCTACAGTTACTCTACAGTTACTCTACACTTACTCTACACTTACTCTACAGTTACTCTACAGTTACTTTACACTTACTCTACAGTTACTTTACAGTTACTCCTCAGTTACTCTACACTTTACTTTACACTTACTCTACAGTTACTCTACAGTTACTTTACACTTACTCTACAGTTACTTTACAGTTACTCCTCAGTTACTCTACACTTACTCTACACTTACTCTACACTTACTCTACAGTTACTCTACAGTTACTTTACAGTTACTCCTCAGTTACTCTACACTTACTCTACAGTTACTTTACACTTACTCTACAGTTACTTTACACTTACTCTACAGTTACTCTACAGTTACTTTACAGTTACTCCTCAGTTACTTTACAGTTACTCTTAGGGGGGGACAGATTTTCAAAATAAAAAACTGGGACGTCTTCGGCAAAAATAAAATTGTGAAATTGAAATGTAATTTTAAAAAATTGTTCTTCATGAACATGAGTCAGTATCGTCACATTTTCTTTGTGTTTTTGTCGTTTTTAAGCAAATTTTCTGTATTTCACTGAAACAAATGACAGTTTATGTCTCTATTTACTGTTTCATTTTGTAATTTTACTTGAGTAATATTTTTGAAGTAACTCGAGTACATTTGTTACTCTCCACAGACTGAGTAAAGACACTTAACCAAACTAACAGGTCTAAACCAGGTCTAAAACCAGGACTAAACCAGGACTAAACCAGGTCTAAACTAGGACTAAACCAGGTCTAAAACCAGGACTAAACCAGGACTAAACCAGGTCTAAACCAGGTCTAAAACCAGGACTAAACCAGGACTAAACCAGGTCTAAACTAGGACTAAACCAGGTCTAAAACCAGGACTAAACCAGGACTAAACCAGGTCTAAACCAGGTCTAAACCAGGTCTATACCAGCACTAAACCAGGACTAAACCAGGTCTAAACCAGGACTAAACCAGGTCTAAACCAGGACTAAACCAGGTCATTTCCCGGACCCCAAACCACTCTGTACTTTTACTTGAGTAATATTTTTAAAAGTAACTCGAGTACATTTGTCAGTACTTTACACTTTACGTTACTCACGTTACTTTCCACTTTGTCGACGTGCGCGGACGTGGTGCACGCGCGGCGCGGGTAGGCGGCACGCACGCGCACAGGTGTCTCGCCGGAAGTGGGCAGCGCGTGCGTGACGTGATAAAAACGTGCAGGTGTCGCGCGGCCCGGCCTCGGAGCTTCTCCCCGCGTGGACCGTGCGCGTGGATCATCACCGACCTGAGGCAGCGCTGACCCGAGGGACCCGAGTGACCCGCGCTCTGCAGGTGGGTCCGCGAGACTCCAGCACGTGCTCTGCTGGAAGGGCGCGTGCGTCACATTGAACGATCCTGAAAACGACCCAGTGAAACTCCGGCTTTTTCAGCGCATGCGCGGAGGTAGAAACATAAATTTGACTGAAACTACAAAAAGACAAAATATGAGTCGCACCGTTGTGTCCTTGAGCAAGACACTTCACCCCCCAGTGTGAGCGGGTTCAGAGGAGACGCAGAAATGTCCCGTGTTTCATAAACGATCGTGTTCGTGACGGTTAAATGTAATAATCTTCAGTTTTTAGAAAGTGTCAGGATTTAAAGCTGCACTCTGGAACATTTGGAGGGTTCGCCGCCTGCTCGTCTCCATGGTGATGTTAGTTTTGCCTCTGTAGTTCTGATCCAGTGTTTAAAATAATGTCTTTATTGAACCTGTGTTCTGTGTGTGTGTGGGGGTCGCCTCTCCGCAGACTTGACTCGTGACCTCCGGGGGGCGCCTGCTCGTCTCGTCGTCGTGGGGACAGATTAAGTTTAAAGCCTCAGTGTGGAACAAACACATCTCCATGGAGACGAGCAGGAGGCAAACCCCCCACCAGTTTGTACTTTCACATGCTCCTGATCCTTCCTCTTCTCTCTCTCTGTCTTCTCTTCTTTCCTCTCTTCTCTTTCTTCTTCTCTCTTCCCTCTTTTTTCTTCCCTCTTCTCTCTCTCCTCTCCCCATTCTTCTTCTCTTCTCCCCTCTTCCCTCTCTTCCGTCTCTTCTCTTTTCCCTCTTTTCTTCTCTCTCTCTTCTTCTCTCTTCCGTCTCTCCTCTTTTCCCCCTCTCTCCCCTCTTCAATCTTTTCTTCTCTCTCCTCTCTTCTCTTCTCTCCTCTCTTCCCTCTTTTTTCTCTCCCCTCTCTCTCTCCTCTCTTCCCTCTCCCTCCCTCTCCTCTCTCTTCTTCCCTCTTCCCTCGCTCCTCTCCTCTCTCTCCTGTCCCCCTTCTTCTCTCTTTCCCTCTTCCTCCCTTCTTCCCTCCTCCCTCTCTCCTCCCTTTCCTCTTTTCTTCCTCTTCTCCTCCAGCTCGTGTCGTGTCTTCAGTCGTGTCTCCGGTGACGTCGTCATGGTGCACCTGTCCCTGACCCCGCCCCCTGAGCCCTGTCACCGCGGCGACGCCCTCCCGGAGCGTCACGTGACCAGCCCGAAGGCGGGGTCACCCGCGGAGGGGGCGGAGCTCGCCGAGACGAACGGCGAGACGTACGAGAAGACGTACGCCGGCTACGAGAACTACATCGAGAACGGACTCCTCTGCCTCAAGCACAAAGTCCGCAACCTGGAGAAGAAGAAGGTACCAGAACCCGGACTAAAACCAGACTAAAACCCGGACTGAACCAGGTCTGAACCCGGTCTAAACCCGGACTGAACCCGGACTGAACCCAGTCTAAACCCGGACTGAACCCGGACTGAACCCGGACTGAACCCCAGACTGAACCCGGACTGAACCCCAGACTAAAACCCGGACTGAACCCCGGACTGAACCCGGTCTGAACCCGGACTAAAACCCGGACTGAACCAGGTCTGAACCCAGTCTAAACCCGACTGAACCCGACTGAACCCGGACTGAACCCGGACTGAACCCGGACTGAACCCCAGACTAAAACCCGGACTGAACCCGGACTGAACCCCAGACTAAACCCGGACTGAACCCGGACTAAAACCCGGACTGAACCAGGTCTGAACCCGGACTAAAACCAGACTAAAAACCCGGACTGAACCAGGTCTGAACCAGGTCTGAACCAGGTCTGAACCCGGACTGAACCCGGACTGAACCCCAGACTGAACCCCAGACTGAACCCCAGACTAAAACCCGGACTGAACCCGGACTAAAACCCGGACTAACCCCTGACTGAACCCGGACTAAAACCCGGACTAAAAACCCGGACTAAAACCCGAAACCCGGACTAAAACCCGGACTAAAACCCGGACTAAAACCCGGACTGAACCCGGACTGAAAACCCGGACTGAACCCGGACTAAAACCCGGACTGAACCAGGTCTGAACCCGGACTAAAACCCGGACTAAAACCCGGACTAAAACCCGGACTAAAACCCGGACTGAACCCGGACTGAACCCGGACTGAACCCGGACTGAACCCGGACTGAACCCAGTCTAAACCAATGTGTGTTCCTCCTGGTGTTCCTCTCTTGTGTCTCAGATGAAACTGGACGAGTACAGGCTGCGTCTGCGGAGAGGAGAGCTGCTGAACAGAGACCAGATGGTGAGATGTTCTCCTGCCCGCGGGGGGAGGGTCTCTTCTTCTGTGGCTGTGTGTGTGTGTGTGTGTGTGTGTGTGTGTGTGTGTGTGTGTGTGTGTGCTGTGTGTCTGTGTGTGTGTGTCTGTGTGTGTGTGTGTGTGTGTGTCTGTGTGTGTCTGTGTGTCTGTGTGTCTGTGTGTGTGTGTGTGTGTGTGTTTGTGTGTGTCTGTGTGTCTGTGTGTGTGTGTGTGTGTGTGTGTGTTTTATTTGACTGTTGTTTCGTTGGAGGCGTCGGTGGAGAAGTACGAGGAGGTTCTTCATCATTTGTCGTTGGCTCAGGAGCTGCACAAAACTCTGGACTCGCTCACACAGAACGTAAGAACATGTGACGCTAACCCGAGGCACTGCTCTGTCTGCACGTGCTCCTCGAAGCTCCTCAAAAAGCTCTTCAAAACTCTTCAAAACTCTTCAAAACTTTTCAAAGCTCCTCAAAACTTTTCAAAACTTTTCAAAACTTTTCAAATCTCCTCAAAACTTTTCAAATCTCTCTCAAAACTTTTCAAAACTCCTCAAAACTTTTCAAAACTTTTCAAATCTCCTCAAAACTTTTCAAAAAAACTTTTCAAATCTCCTCAAAACTTTTCAAAAAAAACTTTTCAAAACTCCTCAAAACTTTTCAAATCTCCTCAAAACTTTTCAAAAACTTTCAAAAAGCTTTTCAAAAACTTTTCAAATCTCCTCAAAAAAAACTCCTCAAAGACTTTTTCAAAACTTTTCAAAATCAAAACTCAAAACTTTTTCAAAACTCCTCAAAATTTTTCAAAAAAGCTCCTCAAAAAAAACTTTTTCAAAAAAACTCCTCAAAACTTTTTCAAAAGCTTTTTTTCAAAAAAAACTTTTCAAAGCTTTTCAAAACTTTTCAAAGCTCAATGACTGCTTCTGTTTTTCCTCAGATTTTTGTGTGTTTATTTCATTTCTCCCCCTCCTCTTCTTTTCTCTCCTCCTCTTCTTTTCTCTCCTCCTCTTCTTTTCTCTCCTCCTCTTCTTTTCTCTCCTCCTCTTCTTTTCTCTCCTCCTCTTCTTTTCTCTCCTCCTCTTCTTTTCTCTCCTCCTCTTCCGTCCTTTTCCTCCTTCAGCTCTTGCGTTCTCAGAAGAAGGCGGTGAGGAAGGAGCAGATGTTGAGGTCTGAGGAGGAGCGGCCGTCGTTTGTCTTCGGTGCTTCAGCTGCAGAAGATCCTTCAGAGTCTGGACCTGGACCGGGTCCGGACCGACCTGCTCTCCGGACTCAACCGGGCCCCCAAAGTCCAGGTCCAGACCCTGCACCGTCTGGACCAGCTCAGACCTCTGCTGGGACTAACCCGGGACTACACCCTCAGGTCAGATCTTCACGTTAAACATCTTCACTTAAAGGTCCAGATCTTCTAAAAAGGTCTAGATCTTCTAAAAAGGTCTAGATCTTCTAAAAAAGGTCCAGATCTTCGTGTTAAAGGTCCAGATCTTCTAAAAAGGTCCAGATCTTCTAAAAGTGTTAAAGGTCCAGTTCTTCTAAAAAGGTCCAGATCTTCACGTTTAAAGGTCCAGATCTTCTAAAAAGGTCCAGATCTTCTTTAAAGGTCCAGATCTTTAAAGGTCCAGTCTAAAAAGGTCCAGATCTTCACGTTAAAGGTCCAGATCTTCTAAAAAGGTCCAGATCTTCACGTTAAAGGTCCAGTTCTTCTAAAAAGGTCCAGATCTTCTAAAAAGGTCCAGATCTTCACGTTAAAGGTCCAGTTCTTCTAAAAAGGTCCAGATCTTCGTGTTAAAGGTCCAGATCTTCTAAAAAGGTCCAGATCTTCACGTTTAAGGTCCAGATCTTCACGTTTAAGGTCCAGATCTTCACGTTAAAGGTCCAGATCTTCACGTTAAAGGTCCAGATCTTCTAAAAAGGTCCAGATCTTCGGTTAAAGCTCCAGGTCTTTGCTTTAAAGCTTCAGATCTTAAAGGTTCAAATTTTCATTTAAAAGTCCAGATCTTCATTTAAATGTCTAGATCTTCACTGTGAGAATTGTGAAGTGTTTCTAAACTCATCGTGTTCTGAATGCAGAAGAGAAGTGAGGAGGAACTTTTGGAGGAATTATTTGGACCACTGCAAACTTTAAAAAATCAGATTTTTAAAAAAATCTTCATATATGTAATAAAAGTGCGTGTTGTTTCAGTCTGGAGGAGCAGATGGAGCAGGCGGCTGGACTCTACCTGGACCTTCTGGACGCTAAAGACGAGTCTGTGGTCGGCTCCACGTGTGAGTGACCCCGAAAAAAACACCACGAAACCCCACAAACTCCCACGAAACTCCCACGAAACCCCACGAAACTCCCTCGAAACTCCCACGAAACTCCCACGAAACTCCACGAAACCACCACGAAACTCCCACGAAACTCCCACGAAACCCTACGAAACTCCCACGAAACCCTACGAAACTCCCACGAAACTCCCACGAAACCCCACGAAACTCCACGAAACCCCCACGAAACTCCCACGAAAACCACAAACCCGAAAAAACCACAAAAAACCCCACGAAACTCCCACGAAACCCCCACGAAACCCCACGAAACCCACGAAACCCCACGAAACTCCCACGAAACCCCACGAAAAACCACAAAACCCCACGAAACTCCCACGAAATCCCCACTAAACCCCACGAAACCCCCACGAAACCCCCACGAAACTCCCACGAAACCCCATGAAACCCCCACAAAATCACACGAAACCCCATGAAATCGCACGAAACCCACAGGAGCAGAACAGGAGGCTTTTTCTCTGAGCTACTTTTACAAATCAAAAATGCCGCACAGACTCAGTTTAGCGTCTTGAGTCAATTTTCACTTGAGTTTCGAAGTTTCCGTGGGCGTCGCCGTCATCAGTGAGGTTTTTTTTTTTTTGGCAGATCAGCTCCAATCGGACGATTAAGCCATTTTTAAATCCTCATAGAATCAAAGTCGGTCACATGAACATTGAACCTTTTACTCAAATGAACCGACTTAGATTTAAGATTCAAAACTTTTTTCAAATTCTCCATCAAAATGAACGGGATTCCTGTTTAACTGCACGTGCTGCCACAAGAGGGCGCCGTTTACGAACGTTTAGACACAAAAGAGGGCGAGGCTAAATAAGATCCTCACGTTAAAGGTCCAGATCTTCACGTTTAAAGGTCCAGATCTTCGTTTAAAGGTCCAGATCTTCGTTTAAAGGTCCAGATCTTCGTTTAAAGGTCCAGATCTTCACATTAAAGGTCCAGATCTTCGTTTAAAGGTCCAGATCTTCACATTAAAGGTCCAGATCTTCACATTAAAGGTCCAGATCTTCGTTTAAAGGTCCAGATCTTCGTTTAAAGGTCCAGATCTTCGTTTAAAGGTCCAGATCTTCGTTTAAAGGTCACACCGTTCACAAAGTTAAATAATTCTAGAGCAGTAATAGTTATTCAGTATAATTCATAAATCCCCTGGAGCCTGTGAGTGGAACCAGGGCAGAAGTGTGACTGAAAATAAGGTAAAACCAGAGTGTACGTATAAATGGAGATGACTCACCCACGAGCCGTCTGATGTCTGATGGTGCTTCACTTTTCCTGGTTTGATGTTTGTTTCGCAGTTAAAGAGCTGAAGGAGGAGCTGGACCTTCTGCTGGAGAGTCCGTATTTCAGATCTCTGCCTCTGGACCCCGAGACCTCAGACTCCGCAGACTCCACCGACTCCACAGACCCACAGGGCAAAGGTCAGGACTTCATCTGAACAAAACGAAACCAAATGTGTTTCCATAAAATCATTCCATAACACACGTGTCCTCCTCTGCAGCTTCATCCAGCTCCAGCTCAGATCAGGTGAGTCCAGGCATCTTCAAAAGACCTCATGTAAACGAGGATCTTTACTTCTTCTTCTTCTGTGTCTCTCGTCGAACCACAGTCGGTCTCGGGTCCGGTCCTGGCTCCGGTCTCGGTCCAGACCTGGGACTCGGACTTCGGGGCCCTGGAAGACCGAGAGCCTCCGGAGCAGTGGGACTCCGCCTCCGGCTCCCCGGCCGTCGACGAGAGGCCGAACCCCGGCAAACCCTGGAGAGGAGGCGCCGCCCTGGTGCCCAAGAACCACCAGAACCACCAGAACCACCAGAACCACCAGAACCCCAGGAGACACGGAGACGGAGACGGCAAACGGGTGAGAGAGAGAGACGAGAGACGATACAGACGATACAGAGACAACAGACAGGGACGAGACGATGCTGATGAGAGAAGAGAGAGACGAGACAATACAGACGAGAAAAGAGACGATACAGACGAGAGGAACAAGACGATACAGAGAAGAGTGAGACAATACAGATGAGCGACAAGACAAGATAGATGAGACGAGAGGGACAAGATGAGAGAGACCATACAGACTAGAGGAAAGAGACGAGACGATACAGACGACACGAGAGAGAGAGAGGAGAGAGAGAGAGACGAGAGAGAGAGAGAGAGAGACGAGAGAGAGACTAGACGAGAGACGAGAAATGAGATGATAGACAAATGAGACGAGAGAGAGAGAGAGACAGAGAGAGAGACAGAGAGAGAGACAGAGAGAGAGACAGAGACGATACAGACGACACGAGAGAGAGACGAGAGAGAGACGAGAGAGAGAGACGAGAGAGAGAGAGAGAGAGAGAGAGAGAGAGAGAGAGAGAGAGAGAGAGAGAGAGAGAGAGAGAGAGAGAGAGGAGAGAGAGAGAGAGACGAGAGAGAGAGAGAGAGACGAGAGAGAGAGAGAGAGAGAGAGACGAGAGAGAGGAGAGAGAGAGAGAGAGAGACAGAGAGAGAGAGAGAGGAGAGAGAGAGAGACGAGAGAGAGGAGAGAGAGAGAGAGGAGAGAGAGAGAGACGAGAGAGGAGAGAGAGAGAGAGAGAGAGAGAGAGAGAGAGAGAGAGAGAGAGAGAGAGAGAGAGAGAGAGAGAGAGAGAGAGAGAGAGAGAGAGAGAGAGAGAGGAGAGAGAGAGAGACGAGAGAGGAGAGAGAGAGAGAGAGAGAGAGAGAGAGAGAGAGAGAGAGAGAGAGACGAGAGAGACAGAGAGAGAGACGAGAGAGAGAGAGAGAGAGAGAGAGAGAGAGACAGAGAGAGAGAGAGAGAGAGAGAGAGAGAGAGAGAGAGAGAGAGAGAGAGAGACAGAGAGAGATGACAGAGAGAGATGACAGAGAGAGAGAGACAGAGAGATGACAGAGAGAGAGAGAGAGAGAGAGACAGAGAGAGAGACAGAGAGAGAGAGACAGAGAGAGAGACAGAGGTTCTTCTACATTTTCCTAATGAACTTTGACATGATTCTAATGATGAACCTGATGTTTCAGAGGAAAGAGAAGAAGATCCGAAGAGAAGAACTGGTGAGTGCACTCCTCTCTCTCTCTTCTCTCTCTCTCTCTCTCTCTGTGTCTGTGTCTCTGTGTCTCTGTGTCTCTCTTGTGTCTCTGTGTCTCTCTCTGTCTCTGTCTCTCTGTCTCTGTCTCTCTGTGTCTCTGTGTCTCTGTCTCTGTCTCTGTCTCTCTCTGTCTCTGTGTCTCTTGTCTCTGTGTCTCTGTGTCTCTTCTCTCTGTGTCTCTGTGTCTCTGTGTCTCTGTGTCTCTGTGTCTCTCTGTGTCTCTGTGTCTCTCTTCTCTGTTCTCTCTGTGTCTCTGTGTCTCTGTGTCTCTGTGTCTCTGTGTCTCTGTGTCTCTTCTGTGTCTCTCTCTGTCTCTCTGTGTTCTCTGTCTCTGTCTCTGTGTCTCTGTGTCTCTGTGTCTCTGTGTCTCTGTGTCTCTGTCTCTGTCTGTGTCTGTGTCTCTGTGTCTCTCTGTGTCTCTTCTCTCTGTGTCTCTGTGTCTCTTCTCTCTGTGTCTCTGTGTCTCTGTGTCTCTGTCTCTCTGTGTCTCTTGTGTCTCTTCTGTCTCTCTCTGTCTCTCTGTGTCTCTGTGTCTCTGTGTCTCTGTGTCTCTCTGTCTCTCTGTCTCTTCTCTCTGTGTCTCTGTGTCTCTGTGTCTCTTCTCTCTTGTCTCTGTGTCTCTGTGTCTCTCTCTGTGTCTCTCTCTCGTCTGTGTCTGAAGAGTTTGTCTTCTGCAGAACGTGGACCTGCAGATGGACGTCTTGTCTCTGCCCTCAGACCCGGACCTTCGCAGACAGAGACTGGAGCAGCTCCTGAACCAGACGCACGGAGCCTTCAGCTTCATGCAGGTCAAACCCACAGAACAAAAACTCTTTCTTCAGACGCAATGTCCTAACCCTAACCCTAACTTTCTTTTCTGTTCCTGTGTGCGTGCGTATCCCTCAGTGCTCCAGGTCAGTTCCACAGTGGGGAGACCAGATGAGATTGGCTAAAATTCGGCATGATTTTATTTTTTTTAGGTGATACACGGACTATAATACATATTGGACTTCTGGTCATCGTACAATTCACACTGGGAAGGATTTTCCGAAAAAGTGATCATCAAACCTCCATGTTTGTTTTCCCAGTGGGACGTGTCTATTGTCAAAGTCGATCTTTTCAAGTCTTTTGAACCATATCACTTTTGTTTCTGGTTCTGATATTGTCATATTTTAGTTTTGGGATTCGGACGTCGTAATTGTGTGGTTGTTGTTTGTTCTAACAGCGGAAAACGACTCGAGAAATGTGTTTGTGAACTTCATAAATGCAAAAGTGAATCAGATGTGTGTGACTCAAACCTCTGTTCAAACTGTTTCTCTTCTCCAACAGAATTGAAAAACTAGTGAAAGGTGAAGGTGATGGGATGGGCAGGATTGATCCACAGGAAGAACCAAAAAGGAAACATTTGTCTGACTAAGAAATCATCCTGAGTTTACAGAGAACATTTTGTATGTGGAGCCACGACAAAACAAAATCCAGATCCTTCGTTCAACCTCGGTTATGAATTTAAAAAGTCGACGCCAAAGTGAAAGTCTCCAACTGTTCACCAAGAAACACCTTCCACTGCAAAGAGACCAAGACGTGATGTTTCTGTAAAACCACAAGAACAAGAAAGTGCAGCTCAGTCTGTTTGTCTTCTGCTCCTCTACATTAACAAACCGGATTTTGTTTTGTCGTCGCTTCAAAAACAAAATGTTCTCTGTAAACTCGGGATGATTTCTTAGTCAGACAAATGTTTCCTTTTTGGTTCTTCCTGTGGATCAATCCTGCCCATCACCTTCACCTTTCACTATTTTTCAATTCTGTTGAGAAGAGAAACAGTTTGAACGGAGGTTTGAGTCACACACATCTGATTCACTTTTGCATTTATGAAGTTCACCAAACAAATTTCTCGAGTCGTTTTCCGCTGTTAGAACAAACAACAACCACACGATTACGACGTCCGAATCCCAAAACTAAAATATGACAATATCAGAACCAGAAACAAAAGTGATATGGTTCAAAAGACTTGAAAAGATCGGAAAATCCTTTCCAGTGTGCACTGTGCAATGACCAGAAGTCCAAAATTCGTGATGCATGTATAAAAGATCAATTTTCAAACCTGTCACAAACATATTTTTATTCAAAGATCAAGTCTATTATATTTCTGCAGAAAACAAAACAAAAAAAAGAACTCAAAATGAAAAAATAACAATACACACATGCCAGGCGCGACCAGTCCAGTCCAGTTGGCTTGTGGTCGGGGCAGCGTGTTATCGACTTGACCTCTCGACCGACAGTTTTTAATGTTTATCAGAAAATAACTACTCAGTTTTGTGTTTGAGTGTCATTTTTGGGACATTTAGGGCTTGGACTTTGGACTTGGACTTTGGGACTGTCCTGAATTTTTTGGGGCGTCTGGTCCCCCTCTTCCCTAGTCGTCCATGTGTGTAGTTCTGGTCTCTGTGTCTTACACTTGTTCTGATCCAGATCATTTTAAACACATTCAGGAAAGGTTCTGCTCCGTCCTGTCAGTGGGACGTTTTAGGATCCAGACCTGAGAAAAATGAGGATCTAGTTTTCAATAAAGTTTTAGTATCGATTAGGATCAGATTTTTGATGCTTTTAACAACAATGTGTTTAGTCTCTGTCTCTCTGTCTCTCTGTCTCTCTGTCTCTCTGTTCTCTCTGTTCTCTCTGTCTCTCTGTTCTCTCTGTTCTCTCTCTTCTCTCTGTTCTCTCTGTTCTCTCTGTTCTCTCTGTTCTCTGTTCTCTCTCTTCTCTCTGCTTCTCTCTGTTCTCTCTGTCTCTCTCTGTTCTCTCTCTGTTCTCTCTGTCTCTCTGTTCTCTCTCTTCTCTCTGTTCTCTCTGTTCTCTCTGTTCTCTCTGTTCTCTCTGTCTCTCTCTGTTCTCTCTGTTCTCTCTGTCTCTCTGTTCTCTCTGTTCTCTCTGTCTCTCTGTTCTCTCTGTTCTCTCTGTCTCTCTGTTCTCTCTGTTCTCTCTGTTCTCTCTGTCTCTCTGTTCTCTCTGTTCTCTCTGTTCTCTCTCTCTCTGTCTCTCTGTCTCTCTCTGTCTCTCTGTCTCTCTGTTCTCTCTGTCTCTCTGTTCTCTCTGTTCTCTCTGTTCTCTCTCTGTTCTCTCTGTTCTCTCTGTTCTCTCTGTTCTCTCTGTTCTCTCTGTTCTCTCTCTCTGTTCTCTCTGTTCTCTCTGTTCTCTCTGTCTCTCTGTTCTCTCTCTCTCTGTTCTCTCTCTGTCTCTCTCTGTCTCTCTGTCTCTCTCTCTGTCTCTCTGTCTCTCTGTCTCTGTTCTCTCTGTTCTCTCTGTTCTCTCTGTCTCTCTGTTCTCTCTGTTCTCTCTGTTCTCTGTTCTCTCTGTCTCTCTCTCTCTGTTCTGTCTCTTCTCTCTGTTCTCTCTGTCTCTCTCTGTCTCTCTGTTCTCTCTGTTCTCTCTGTTCTCTCTGTCTCTCTGTTCTCTCTGTCTCTCTGTCTCTCTGTCTCTTCTCTGTCTCTCTCTGTTCTCTCTGTTCTCTCTCTGTTCTCTCTGTTCTCTCTGTTCTCTCTGTTCTCTCTGTCTCTCTGTTCTCTCTGTCTCTCTCTGTTCTCTCTGTCTCTCTGTTCTCTGTTCTCTCTGTTCTCTCTGTCTCTCTCTCTCTGTCTCTCTGTTCTCTCTCTCTGTCTCTCTGTTCTCTCTGTCTCTCTCTGTCTCTCTGTCTCTCTGTCTCTCTGTCTCTCTGTTCTGTTCTCTCTGTGTCTCTCTGTTCTCTCTGTTCTCTCTGTTCTCTCTGTTCTCTCTGTTCTCTCTGTCTCTCTGTTCTCTCTGTTCTCTCTGTTCTCTCTGTTCTCTCTGTCTCTCTGTTCTCTCTGTCTCTCTCTGTTCTCTCTGTTCTCTCTGTCTCTCTGTTCTCTCTGTTCTCTCTGTTCTGTTCTCTCTGTCTCTCTGTTCTCTCTGTCTCTCTGTTCTCTCTGTCTCTCTGTTCTCTGTTCTCTCTGTTCTCTCTGTCTCTCTGTCTCTCTGTCTCTCTGTTCTCTCTGTTCTCTCTGTTCTCTCTGTTCTCTCTGTTCTCTCTGTCTCTCTCTGTTCTCTCTGTCTCTCTGTCTCTCTGTTCTCTCTGTTCTCTCTGTTCTCTCTGTCTCTCTGTCTCTCTGTTCTCTCTGTCTCTCTGTTCTCTGTCTCTCTGTTCTCTCTGTTCTCTCTGTGTCTCTCTGTTCTCTCTGTCTCTCTCTCTCTGTTCTCTCTGTTCTCTCTGTTCTCTCTGTCTCTCTGTTCTCTCTGTCTCTCTGTCTCTCTGTCTCTCTGTTCTCTCTGTCTCTCTGTTCTCTCTCTGTCTCTCTGTTCTCTCTGTCTCTCTCTCTGTCTCTCTGTCTCTCTGTTCTCTCTGTCTCTCTGTCTCTCTGTTCTCTCTGTTCTCTCTGTCTCTCTGTTCTCTCTGTTCTCTCTGTCTCTCTGTTCTCTCTGTTCTCTCTGTTCTCTCTCTGTTCTCTCTCTCTGTTCTCTCTGTCTCTCTGTTCTCTCTGTCTCTCTGTCTCTCTGTTCTCTCTTGTCTCTCTGTTCTCTGTTCTCTCTGTCTCTCTGTTCTCTCTGTCTCTCTGTCTCTCTGTTCTCTCTGTTCTCTCTGTTCTCTCTGTCTCTCTGTCTCTCTGTCTCTCTGTGTCTCTCTGTTCTCTCTGTTCTCTGTTCTCTCTGTCTCTCTTCTCTCTGTCTCTCTGTTCTCTGTTCTCTCTGTCTCTCTGTTCTCTCTGTTCTCTCTGTCTCTCTGTTCTCTCTGTTCTCTCTGTTCTCTCTGTCTGTCTCTCTGTTCTCTCTCTCTGTTCTCTCTCTCTCTGTTCTCTCTGTTCTCTCTGTGTCTCTCTGTCTCTCTGTCTCTCTGTCTCTGTTCTCTCTGTCTCTCTGTCTCTCTGTTCTCTCTGTCTCTCTGTTCTCTCTGTTCTCTCTGTCTCTCTGTTCTCTGTTCTCTCTGTTCTCTCTGTCTCTCTGTTCTCTCTGTCTCTCTCTGTCTCTCTGTCTCTCTGTTCTCTCTCTGTCTCTCTGTTCTCTCTGTTCTCTCTGTCTCTCTCTGTTCTCTCTGTTCTCTCTGTTCTCTCTGTTCTCTCTGTCTCTCTGTCTCTCTGTTCTCTCTGTTCTCTCTGTTCTCTCTGTTCTCTCTGTCTCTCTGTCTCTCTGTCTCTCTGTTCTCTCTGTTCTCTCTGTTCTCTCTGTTCTCTCTGTCTCTCTGTCTCTCTGTTCTCTCTGTTCTCTCTGTCTCTCTGTTCTCTCTGTTTCTCTCTGTCTCTCTGTTCTCTCTGTTCTCTCTGTCTCTCTGTCTCTCTCTGTCTCTCTGTTCTCTCTGTTCTCTCTGTTCTCTCTGTTCTCTCTGTTCTCTCTCTGTCTCTCTGTTCTCTCTGTCTCTCTGTTCTCTCTGTTCTCTCTGTTCTCTCTGTTCTCTCTGTTCTCTCTGTTCTCTCTGTCTCTCTGTTCTCTCTGTTCTCTCTGTCTCTCTGTTCTCTCTGTTCTCTCTGTCTCTCTGTTCTCTCTGTCTCTCTGTTCTCTCTGTCTCTCTGTTCTCTCTGTCTCTCTGTTCTCTCTGTCTCTCTGTCTCTCTCTGTTCTCTCTGTTCTCTCTGTCTCTCTGTCTCTCTGTTCTCTGTCTGTCTCTCTGTTCTCTCTGTCTCTCTGTCTCTCTGTTCTCTCTGTTCTCTCTGTTCTCTCTGTCTCTCTGTTCTCTCTGTTCTCTCTGTTCTCTCTGTTCTCTCTGTTCTCTCTGTCTCTCTCTGTCTCTCTGTTCCTCTGTCTCTCTGTCTCTCTGTTCTCTCTGTTCTCTCTGTCTCTCTGTCTCTCTGTTCTCTCTGTCTCTC